ATCTCGTATCACTAGCAGCCTACTTGACATCTCTACTTACATGTTTCAAAGACATCTCGAACTCAACATATGCAAAACCAAGCTCACGAACTTCCTCCCACTCCCCCAAAAGAAAAAATCCTAAAACTCGAGTCTCTTGCAGAGAATGGTACCACTATCTGTTTCCCGAGTTAGGAAATTGATCCTTGACATCTTTTTTTCCTCACTTCTCACACAAAGATATCACATGAAGTCCCTTAAGTTTTAACTCCTAGGTATCTTCTGGCCCTTTGCTCTTTCCTTGCATTACCACCAAACCAGTGGTAGCTACTCTAATATGACTAATACAAGAGCCTCCTGACTCACATCCTACCTCTCTTCTATCGTATGTCCAATTCATTCTCCACAGTCACAGGGATCTTTCCAATGATCATGACACTATCCTGCCTAAAACTCAATAGTTTCCCATTACTCTTAAGCTAAAGACAAAAATCCTTAAACATTGCCAAAAAGGTCCAGCAGAATATGGTCCCTTCAGCCTCATTTTTCATATGTTTCCTCCACCATCAGGTCTTTCCACTTGCAGTTCCTTTTGTTAGAATGCTCCACTGGCTCCCTATCTCCACAACCTTTGCCTCGTTAATATCTACTCATTTTCTGGATCTGAACAATGACTTCCTCACAGAAGCCTTTCCTATAGATCAAGCCCTCCTCTTACATAATCTTTTTGCACAATGATGTCCCTTTTCTTTTCACTTAACATAGTTGTAATTTTACATTTGTTTGTAATTCCATAAGGGCAGAAAATGTCCTTTTTTCTGCCTTTGCTTATAATTATATCCCTGAGCCTGGCACATAACATGCATTTAATAAATATGTTTAATTGAATGAATGAAATATAAATTCACTCAAAGCTCTCCTTCAACTGAACTCATCTTGCCACTTTGATTTTATTTCTCAATGTTCCCCACGGTAAACACTCTAATCAAGCAAGTGCCTTATTACTTCTTTCCCTCCTGCCTCTCACCATACCTCTATTTCTAGAGCATTCACCTTTGAAACTCTATTGACAAGCAGAGCACCTGACCCACAGGAGGCATTCAACACATGCTTGTTGATCTGAAAGGTAGGTTCAAGACCCATTTCTCTAAGAAATATTCCTTATCTAACTCCAAACTTCTTTTCCTCTCAATTCCTATATTACCATCGTCTGAACCCCACAATATAGCATTTAATTGTATTTTGTTTCAATTATTATCTCCTAATTTTTTCATGCCCACCTCAAGTTTCCACGTAAATTATGAGTTTATTGAGGGTGGCTACTGTATTTTTCTTAAAGAGCCTGGAATTGTGTTATTTATTAAATAAGTACATAATTTATTGACCAAACATCTACCAAAGAATGCAATTTCATCCAAATTTTCCATTAATATTTACTTATTAAGCAATAGGAGATACACATTTTTTTTTCACCTCTGTTCTTCCTCTCCTCTCCTTCCCATCAATCACCACCTGAGAAAGGTGTCAATGAGCAGAGAGATGTCTAAGCAATAGGTGGAAGGACGAGGAAGATAGAATCAAAGGCTGGAATGATATACAAAATGGAACTCTATCCCCTAAATTTCAGAAACTTAACCTTTTGAAAAGATCCTGCTCATCAGTAGTAAAAACAAAATGATATTACTTAATAATGGACAGTAGGTGTTAGAAATAAAGAAACCTTACATTATTTCAAATTACAAACTGAACTCTTTAGTGATGGATTTTTCTTTTCTATCAAAGAGCAAATATTTTAAATGTTTTCAAATACAATAAGCCTAAATTACCCAGACCACTGGAGGACTGAAAGCCACTGGTTAATTTAATTTTCTGGTTTGCTGAAGGTGAACTGAAAGCCCTCTGTGTCTCAACCTTGTTACTGACAATCTTTATAAAATGTATGAGTCTACTTTTCTACCCTGGTAAGTACAATATGGTTAACATTATTGAATCTTCTGTAATGATTGAAACTATTGTAATGTGTCAGGATCGATTCAAATAGAATTGATTGTGAGCAGCTGATGCCCCCTGTGCTAAGCCTCAGGCACAGTCTGAGAGTTGAATTTTTGAATGAATTCCCAATTTCAACTTATGCATGCATCTCTTTCTGTAAAGGTTTAGAGCAAAAACAAAAGTTCTGGTTAAAATAAAAAGATTTTGAGGACCAGCCTATGGCTCACTTGGGAGAGCGTTGTGCTGACAACACCAAGTCAAGGGTTAAGATCCCCTTACCGGTCATCTTTAAAAAAAAAGAAAAGATTTTGGTTAACAAATCTACTTGATTAGTGTTTGTTTGTGAGTTCATTGATTGATTGATTGATTCATCCATTCATTCAAAAATCATTTGTGGACCCTGAGGCAGGAGCTTTCCCGAGAAGGTTGTCCAGAGGCCCAGGCCAACATATGCACCTGGTCAAGCATGGCTATCATGGAAAGGCCCGAGTGAAGGCTGGACCACGGACTCTAGCCATTCACAGTGACACAGGAATGAGGCCTAAGCCTGATGTCCCTGGTGGCCATGGCTGGGCTTCAGTTCCCTCACAGGGGCAGGGCTCCATCCTTGTAGGAGTTTAAGAGAGGGTGCTACTGGGGAGCACACAGGATCAGGATCCCCATGATGTAGAAATTATCCTGCAGCTGGGCCTGGAGTGTCTGGACAGCCAGCCGTGGACTCCCAGTGCTCAGAGAAAAAGCTCCATGCCAGGCTGCCAATCCCTCTTTGTCCCATATAGTCCTCCGGGCCCCAACTCCCAGCTCGGATCTTGGAGAATCTGCCTGGGTCAAATGCTCTCCAACGCTGATTTTCTCAAGACATTCCATAATGTGAATGGAATGGCAGAAGTATGGAAAACTGTTCACTGTGCAGCCTGCAGAACCTTCACGAAGCCAGTCTATCCTTTCACCTCATCAGAATGGCTCTGGTGGCTGGGAAGGTTGAAATACCTTGCTCACCAACCTCAGCTCCTATTTTGCTTCAGAGAACCTTCTTGGACTAATGCTGTCTATCACTCCTTTACTGGAGACTTTCATGTGTGATCTGGGAGGCTGAGGGAGAAAAATAGATCAATGAGAGACTCCCGAGCAGGTCTGGGGCTAGACCCTGAGTTCACCATTTACTGGTTGCCATATTCCTACTGGGACTATAATACTGAACCATGAGTATAGGGTATGGAAGCCTCTAGCATAATTTTTGCCTGTCTTACTTTTTTATTCGTTCTAATAATTTGTCATTTATTTAATTATGTATATAATCGTATCAACTGAAATCTGAGAGCAATGAAAATTGATTTCATTCTTTAAAACATTTTAGGAAGATTCTCATCCAGAATAATTGAAACAGAAGGTGAAATAGAGCTCCCTACACCCTCATAATGTACGCTATCTGCTTCTGTAGAATTGTTTGCTTAACCTAAGTAACTCCATTATGCCCCCTGTCTGACCTGCAGACTACCCCCACTTCTGCATGAGAAACCGTTGACCTTCTCACAGAAACAAAGCTGCTGCATAGAAACAGGAGCCATACATAGTGAATTATTACATGAGAACAGGGACCATACACAATGAAAACGTTTATGTTTGATTGCTC